GGATTCTGAGAATAAACCTTACACATGTCTAACAATTTCCAAAGCACTATCTGAGTCGGACAGCTCTGTATCCCCCCCCCCCCCTTTTATTTACCTATATATTCTGTATTTGGTTGAGAACACGAACAGTCACAGATATTCAACAGAATGCAAGCCCAAACATCGGTAGTATAGTAGGAGTACAAATATTTATTTGTAAAATATGTGCAATTATACTACCAAGAAATTGATGATGGACCACTCCCATATGCTCATGACGCGAGCAGTGGAAAATGAGTTCTCGCATTCCCGTCGATTATTCGGTTTTGGTTATCGACTGAACAGAAGGCTTCGGTCAAAATTAGAAGCGCACGGGATCCAAGGCAGAGTGGGTAACTGGATAGGTAACTGGCTTTCGGGTAGAGTGCAGAGGATAATTGTAAATGGAGAAGCGTCGCCGGAAGTTGGAGTCGCAAGCGGAGTACCCCAGGTTTCGTTCTCGAGACCGCTCCGATTTCTGGCTGATATTAACGATCTAGATGAAAGCCTTGCGAGTAAAGTTAGTAAATTTGCGGACGACACGAAAATTTGCTTCAATGGGGGAGGGGAGAGCCGAGAGAGATTTAGAGCTCCTCGAAGATAGCTGTAAAAAAATGGTTAATGAAGTTTAAGGTACTATGGGAAGATGAAAATCGATCCCCCCTGGATCCAAATTTTGCTTTATAATAGTTGTAGGAGACCTCAAGAAAGGGCCTTGGAGCTTAGACAAGAAAGAGAAAATCGAGTGCTATCGTGAATTTAAGTAATTTTTACTCCATTTTAACTTCTACATGACAACGTTTCGGAATGCCTCCAGCCATATGTGGACTTTCTCGTGAGAGTCAGTAAATTTGGTGACGTTCTAGAAACGAGTAAAACTATAAGAAAAGGGTGGAAGAATGCTGTCTGCTAAATGAGTGATGATAGCGGGCTTCCCAGCTATCGCATTTAAGTCGGGTCATGCGCAGTTCCAACCTAGACCATCCTCTCCCTGGCCTAACCTGCTCCTATTCACTGGGAGCCTGATGGAAGAGTTGAGGGGGAAGGGGAAGTCTCCCAGTGAAGCGAACGGAATGAGACTTCGGCCAGAGAGAAGAGGCCTGAGTGCTATGTTGCCAAATCTATGCAGCATTGCCAGATATTCTTCCATGCCCTACTCCTTCCATTCCGATGAAATTAGAATCCTGCAAGGCTAGTTTTTCGGCCTCGTTCACCTGTTTTATCAGCAAATATTTTATCAGCACCACTACCCGCGTGGGTCTTTTATTCCTTCAGGTCTCTCCCTTCCAAAACTTTTCTTCTCTCCTGCCCCCGGGCTTCCCCCTGGCAGTGATTTACGCAATGGGGTTCGTGAAGCTGGTGTCACGTTTCCCTAACCAATCATATCTATGGGCATGACTTTTAATATTTTTAAACATGACATTAATGTAGTTATATCTTACATTATCTGTCTGAATGTAATAGGAGAAATTTTAATACTTGAATATAATAAGCAAGAATTAATTGGCTTGCATACGTTTTCTATAATAGTACCGATGATTAAGTGAGGTGTAATGTGAAAGCGGTGATAAAGTCCTATTTGTACCGTACTATAGGCTTTGCAAACGCAAAATTATAGAGACGGGAAACATCATTGCTGACTTAGTTCTTAGTTTTTAGATTTAGTTTTATTCCAAGAAGTGATGAAAAGCGCGAGAAATTCTCGAGAACGGAAGGCCCACGCCAGATCTCCAAATTTTTCCAAAAGACTTGGCAAAGGCCGAAAACTTTTGCTTTCCGCAAGGTCTGGTACGAAAACTTGAAAAATGGGAAATGCAGTGGAACGATTGTAGTTGGTCCGGAACCAAACCAATGGTTGATGGAATTAAAATTCTTAGTTTATGGCAATTGGGAAACTAACATCTAAAAAAATGTATAAGAGCATTACTGACACCTTTAATAAACTTAAAATAATATTTAAGAAGCAATTCAGAGCAATGATAGTTGCAGGAAAGAAGGGTATAAACATATCCCACTCCAGAAGCTCACGGCTCGACGAACGAAAAGTTGTAATAAGAGTGATGGTGAAGGATAAAAAACGAGGAATTCGGTAACAGGCCTCAAATAAACGAAGCCCAACACGTTGAAGTGGCAGAGCGACGATTGCCAGGACTGCTCTCCCGGCGACAAGTAAATGAACGACTCACAGCTCAGGTTCGACTTGTCCTCTACACTTGGCAGTCAGATCGCTCCACTTCGTTCAAGACGCACGCTAAAAAATCCTTTTTCGGGTTTCCGTCACGCATATTTTATTGGCATCATGGATTTGACCCAGAATTGTAGGGAGAATCTCATTTTTCGGAGGGCTAATGAAGTTCTGAGGGCCTAAAAATCTCACGTAAGCTACGGGGAAGGGGGCGGGGGGGAGCCAGGACAGCCCCCCTTCCCTGACTACGTCACTGGTCTACTCTACAGCATGAACCACGAGTCGCCACTGCACTGTCTTCAAAGATTGTTTTCAGAGCTTTAGCTGCATGGACTTCATAATTTCCTATGTGTCTAGAGGCAGGCACATGGGACAATAATTTATTTCCCGTCACTGTTTCTATTCTGATTGTGGAAGAATACGAAGATTCACCATTGGAGATCGTAATTTATGGAGCTTTCTCCCCATACTTGTCGAAATTTGGAGTCTATTCCAAAGTCCCACATTCCGCATGGCTGTAACGAAATAGAATTTGACTTTTTCGCGTATATTCGGAAGCATTTCTGATTATGTAATGCAATGGTTCTAACTCCGGGAGAAACTGTTACATCAGAATCTTTGTACTGTATCTCATGGCATATTCTCATGGAACTGGGCCTGGCGACTACACCTAATCGAAAAATTCTCAAACAATGCGGCAGTTGTTGCCGTGGGATATCTTTCATTCGCTGATGGGGTTTCACCTAAATGTATGCACTCCTCCTTCCACATTCAGTACGCGAGGTGTAATGTGTAATAATTGGCGTAATAAAGCAATGATGTTTCCCGTCTCTACAGGTATAACTTTGCGTTTGCAAAGCCTATAGTACGGTACAAATAGGACTTTATCACCGCTTTCACATTACACCTCACGTATGTACTCCATGCTCAATCCATTTCTTCGCCGAGCTCTAAAGAGTCTTCACGAGAGGAATGGACTGCGTCCTGGGTTGATCGTTGTTTTCGTTGCTTTCAATGAATAGGACAAAAATAATATTTTAAAAATGAATATGGAAAATAAGGGAGAAGGACAGCATGAAACGAAAGCAAAAGATGATAAAATTACCTGAAAAATAAAGGTTTCAAAAAGTCAAACCTAAAAACTCTTTTAAATGTCAAAGGTCAACTGACCTTTGGGGGAGGGAGGGGGGGGGGGTGACAAATACAGGTACGTTTCCACAGCTCCCCCTATTTTATAAAAGCTTTCGAAGGAAGTGATAGTCGTCGCCCAATAGCCTCATATATTCTGGAATGAGTGCAAGACCTCAGGACTAAGAAACAGCAGGGATTGCTGGAATTCCTCTCTGATGACATTTTTTTTCCATCAGGGAGTGAAATCGGGAGAATCACGGTCTCGCAATATTCTTTGCATGTTGGTAGGGAGGAAAGGGATGAAACCTGGGGCCTGTTTCGTGGAATTTACAAGTTCTACAAGTTACAAGTTACAAGTACTTGCAAGATTGCTCCTTATTTAACTCTTCCTGCTGGTCCCGCTGGCCCTTCTTACAACTACGACACGACCCTTGTAATTACTATTAACTTGTAACTTGTAGAACTTGTAAATTCCATGAAATAGGCCCCTGCAGAGTTACCATCCCTATTCATGAAAGATGTTGGATACCTTGCGCGTGTAAAATTAGAAGTGTTATCTGTGAATGTCGAATCCTTTCAAGCGGAGAGCGGAGTGGAAAGAGAGAAGGATTGGGAAGAGGGCAGCCAGCAGGAAAATAATAATAATAAATTGTTGTTTTTTCTTTTAGAATGTTGTGCGACAGAGGTGTGCTGACGCCTCGCATCTCCCAAGCACGGGAAGAGAAGTCCAGACAGGAAGGAGAAGGGGGCGAGAGAGAGGGAAAGAAAGATCACGCATTGTACATTATGCTGGCCATTCCCAGCTCAACTGTGAAAAGTCCCACCATTCAGCAACCGGTTCACCAAGAATTTTAGAAAGAGATTTAGGTGTCATCTGAGTCGTGGGTCATTCCACCATACCATAGAGGAAAGTAGCTCGTGGTCGTTGGTGAGGATGGAGGCATGTCGGAGAAACGCGGCCGCTTGATTGATTCTTTGACATGGCCTCAGTCAAATCGTTCTTGGAATGAGGAGAATCTACACATTCGCGCATGACTCGGCAGAGTCATTTTTCATAGTCGTCTCGAAGAATCTGTGTCGAAAACTCGAAATTTATTATTCTCGTTCTGAGGATACTCGGTCCTAGGGTAGAACTAATTCCGTATCCCGATTAAGTACTATTTCCATGTCTCAGTGATGCAAAAGATCTGCCCTTTCCTTAGGAGAGAATGAGGGCAAGAAATATTGAAAGCAAGAAATACTGAAAGCCTATTAAGACCCTTCTGTCTATTAATGTGTATTTATTTTAATCATTTGAGCTCTCCGCACGTGGCTTTGGATAATTTGGATTCCTTATGAAGTTTTATGATCGTATCTCATTAACGTCAAGCGTAAGACTTTTTTTGCTTCCAGTCTGCATTTTAATGCCCAAGAAATCAACAACCGTGCCGGGAGACATTTATCCGTACCGATACTGGAATGGAAGTGACATCTTCGATAAGTGAGATTCGGTGTTCTCTACAACTCCGAGGAAATGAAGTTTCAAATTTTCTAGAGCAACTCTGCGTCGAGAGGATAAGAAGCATGCCCGATTTCGATCCTCCAAATGCTCTCAGAGAGAGATACGAGCTGGTTGTATTTTGTAACGGGAAGGATTGAAGAAAGGGAATGGGAATCGACTCCCCATTTACCACATGTAGACGATAATTACGATACGTCGCCGGGTCCTAGGAGGGACGAAAAGTGAGACAAAGCCATAGCTGGGCTCCTGGTCCCGATCGACCAGTCGGAGCCTGTCTTCCACGTCCTCGGGGCAGGCCCTCCCGTTCACCTTGGCGAGTCGCCTCAGGATCTCCGCTGCCTCCCGATACCTTCCGCGGCTCGACAGCCACCGCGCACTCTCCGGTATGACCCTGGTCCATATCCACATGCATCTTTAAATGTCGATTTTTCGCAACCAGTTCATCTGGGTTGGAATCATTTTGATCAGTCGTCACGATCCTCTCTCCTTTAAGGAATGCTTTTTTTATACAAATATCATGCCGAGTTAATCCTCATATGTTTCCTATCTGAGCAGGGTTTATAGTCATTTGTACTTGCATCAATGATATATTTAAATTATTAATCTGCATCATCTTATGATTTTTTTTCATCTCTCCATTGCACGTTTCCCTTCTCGCATTCTCCATCACTGTTCATCATTACATGTAGCGCTCATCGTCTGTAACGCGGATCCCTCGATGAGAACCTCTAGTTTGGGACCGACCTGAAGTAGCCATAGAAGGCAGCGACGGGGAGGGTGGTGGCAAGGCCAAAGTAGACCCAGTGACCTCGCGTGATCCAAGCCAAGAACACCTGTAGGCACACCCCCAAGACGTAGACGATGTTCATCCCGAAGTCTACTACCATCCGGTGCTCGGGACCCGCCTGCTCCAGACCTGTTTAATGGACACTTTTTTTTCCTCTCGTTTCCAATTTTATATTAGGATCCTGAAATTCTCTGGGTATTGAAAAAAAAAATCAAATTATTCATTAATAATGAAATCATAGTCGCAGGAGGGCCTTCCAAGACGGATAATTACGTAATTAAATGCTTAATTAAATTTTTATGATGAAGCCTGTTCAATCCTTTCGCGTTTCATGTTGTGCTCCTTACACTATGGCCAAGATTCGTTGTACTTCAAGCACTCACCCAGGGGCCTGTTCCTCGTCTCGCAACCTAAACCTAATCCTAAACCTAAAAGCATCCTTTTAGAACGCAGTTAAAGGAGTCCCTCACCTTCAGTGTTGAGTGACCACTTTTAGATCAGGGGTGACATGCACCAATTGAGGAATCGGATTAGTTTAAAGACGAGATGAATACGTTTACTAAAACATCTTTAAGAATGCGTTTATCTTTGACATGCACCACCGAAAATCAAATTACGAGTTTCCATGAACACGTTTATCCCCGACTTAAACACGTTTAAAAGCGGTGTGGTTGCACTTGGAAAGAGAATGAATATTGTGCCAGCTGCTGCTCCATTGTCCGAATCGAGTCGGCCACGGTTTGAAAGACGAAACCTCCGGAATTCGTCTCCGTTGAACCATTCAAGAGGATTGAGCCGATAGTCTCTGATAGTCCACCTGGCAGTTTGGTTCAGGATCACGTCAAAAATTTCGATCTCACTATTAGTTTCCATTCTCACCGTCGCTAGACGATGAGAGGCAAGAAAAATGAAGCTCACTCCGGCAAAACAGCGTACTGGACTACCTCTGAGAATCCGTTTAGGGAATTAAACCTGCTATGGAACAGGTTTATCTTTGAAGATTAGTTTCAGAGAGAAACAAACTGATCGCATTTGATGCATGACACAAATCAGCTTAACGACGAGTTAAGTTCATTCTTAGGGTGACATGCACCGAATCCGTTTAAGCTAAACTAATCTGATCTCACAATGGTCCCCTATGAAAATCAGTTTAACAGAGATAAACTTATTCCCATAGACGCCCATCATGAAAACGAATCAGTTTGAAGTTAAACGGATCTGGTGCATGTCACCCAATATAAACCTGATCTGAAATGATTACAAAAGCAACCAAGGGAGCCTGCTGTTCCGCATCTCAGTGCGAAATTTAACGCACATGTACACAGGGTATTGGGAAGGCGCTGGTGGGGACAAAACCGGAATTACCCATCATAACGGGAGGATGGGACAACTATCAATATGAACTGTGGCGCAACCGAAATTGGTATCTCACCCCATTTTCAGACCTCTTGAAAAGTGAAAACCATTTAAGACCTATGTCGCAGCTTATAAGATATGAATATTCATGACATTTGTGTGCAATGGTCTTGAACTCCCAAATGGCATCACACAGAGTTCTCTCCCATCATTCCAACATTTGGACTGGGTCGGACCTGTCTAAAAATGTTCCCCCTTTTAAACTAAGTTTTAAACTAAGTCTGGCGAAGAATAGGCTTTTCGCTTTTCGATTAAATTAAGTTTAGATTAAGTTTAGTAGAAGCGAGGAACAGGCCCCTAGAGCCTATTAATGTCAAGTGTATTTTCTCGATTGTTACGTGTCGTAGCCAACAATCAAAGCGTCATCGGTAGGGCATAGAGAGTGCTCAAATTTATTCCATTAACTTGAGAGACAGTAGGTTCTCTTTTTTCAATATGAAAAAGCGAAAAGTGCAATGAAAGAGTTCCTTAAAATCATAAATAAAATATGTATTTTCTCGTAGTGTTTAATATAGGCCAGGACTGAGCGAAATCTCTTCCAGGATTAAGAAAATTACTTTCTAAAAAAAATTAGAGTAAAAAATGAGGAAAAATAAAAATCAGGTTGTACATTTTTTTTTTTAGATTGATCTAATTTGTCCGAGCGTACAGGAAAACGGGCAGTAATTTTCAAATTAACACCCAAGAAAGTAACCAAAGATATTTGGGTCTGTGGAATTATTAACTTCCGAGTTTCATGGCTTCTGGTTCGCTTGCTTCTGGCGTTTCCAATGAAACGCCAGAAGCAAGCAAAGCCCACCAAGAATATGTCAGCGAAACTGCACTGCTAAATGCATTCCGGTAGCCCGACGTGAAGCGTCGGCGTCGATTTTTTTAAACTTTTTTTTAAGCAGAACATTCGTGGCGACCCACACATGATGTAGGCGATTTGGAAACAGGAAGGGAAGGCGATGCTCATGAGGAATATGAGGACGTAGAAGAGCCGGTGGTCTCTTGCGTAGAGGAAGCCAGTGCCAAAAACGAGGTACAGCGTCGCCGATCCGTAGAATATGGGGCGTCGACCGAACCTGTTTCGTGACAAAACGGTAAAAACGCCCAGTAAAAAATTTTTGTTGGTTCATCTTCGAGCCATAGCTGGGGAAGTTGGCTCTTTTTTGGCGAATGATTCGCCTTAAATGAGCCAATGTGACTGAGAAGGTTCCGAAAACCAGCATGAGATGGAGTCAAAGTGGTCGTAGTAGGGAATCACTTCCCGAATTCAACTGAAATGAGTCCCCCGTCTCTTTGACGTTCTCCAGGGTTTCTCACATAGATCTCAGAGAAAGACCATTGAATACCTTAACACATTTCTCTGAAGATGTAACCTAGCCCTCGAATAAACCAAGGAATTCCGGCCCGGAAGTCCGTGGGAGGATCCTTCTACTTTCCAATATAAGCTACGCGACCTTTTTCCCCTACTGGAAGACATAAAAAATCTTATTACGTGTAAGGCAAGCCTGGCCTCCTACTGGAAGACAGACACCCTTGCATCCCCATGTGATTCCGGTCCTGGATGCCTTAGCATCCGGAAGGAATGTCTCTTGGGATTCTCAGTTCTTGGGGATAGGAGTGTGCCTGTGTAAGGTACTCTGGTAAGGTACTGCTTCTTCATCTTTCCCAGATGAAGGAGCAGTAGGGAGCCAAATGATGTGTAATGCTGTAGATGCAGTTCTTGTGGTTTTTTTCCTTTATCTTTTCACCATTGTGAAAAGTCGGCTTATGGTTGGTGCATGTGCGGTTTCCCAACAATGAGCCAAAGTTGACCCGATGAAGGGCCAACAGGAGATGCCCAACCATAAGCCGGCCTAAATCAACCATATGCCAGTGAAGACCCAACTAAGGCTTATATGCGCGTCGAAGAAAAGCCATCGATGGCCCGATGAAAAATTTTTGACTGGGCGGAAATGCATCAGATATGATATATAAATAAGAAAGATGCATACACTGTCTCAATAAAAACGTATGCCACTTTATTTTTTGGAATATCTCCATCCGATATTATGCAAAACTCATGAATTTTTGCATATGGCATTTTGGGTGAATAATTCCTTCCAAGGTATTCCAAGGTAGATTCCTGCCAAGTGTAAAAGATTTCCACCCAAATGTAATAGCTTTTCAAAGTTGAAGCATCAAAAATCACAGCGAACGAGCAATGTACACGTTAATTTTTGAAAGGTGCATGCTCCAAAATGACAGCTCTGGCAGCAGGCAGTCTTGGTAAATGGAATTGGTTTAGATAAATCTCTTTTATTATGAGAAATTACAATTCCTTTGAATCATTATTATAATTAGAAGCTGGTAGCTTATTTGTTGTAAATAAATACAAAAATCTACCGAAAACCTTACATGTCTTATGGCTTTTGCCCTCGACAAGTCAGATGAAAAATGAAGATTTCTGTAAAATGTATGCCAGCCAACCTTGAAAACTTGAAAAGCTCGTTCGCAAAATGTTCACCTTCAGCACGAACCCAAGCTTTGAAAAATTATTGCATTTGAAGCACTGGGTGGATTTATTTTACACTTGGTATGAATCTTTCTTATTCACCTGAAATGCCAGATGCAAAAATGCATTAGTCTTGTATGATATCGGATGAAGATATAAAAAAAATAATGTGACATACTTTTTTTGAGACACAGGGTATATACCTGGTATGCATTGCAAGTATGATTCATGAATTCATATGATTCATGGGATTTCATCTGAAAAGCCCAATGCCTGAATACTTGTCCAGCAATTGCTTTCGCAGTTTCCCTTTTCCATTGCGCATCTACTTATTTTCGTTCTACTATTATTCAATTTGATATTATATAATTATTTTATTATGCTATTTTTTATTATATTACTCTAATATTTTTACCAGGCAGTTTCATTATGCATAAGTATCTTGCACATAGTATTTGCATTTCTCATAGCCCAAACCGTCTTCAATATATTTTTTATGCTCCTTTTTTTTAGTGCATCACGGCACATTATACACACTTTAGGATCCAACATCGCTGTGAAAACGCATTCTAATGATATCCAATACGAAGCCTCGTTTTATCAAGCAAGTTTTTAATTAATAGTGGCGCTTGAAGAAGGAGCTCTCATCCGAGCAAATCCGTCTTTGCCACGTAGCAAGGCTTTGAAGAGAGGAATATTTCTCTGTGAGGGAGAAAGACCGGGCCAAGGAAAGAAGGAGTGAGGAGTGGGAGTCTTCACGGCTTCTTTTTTCCTTTTCTTTTTCTTTTCCTTTTTCCTTTTTTATTTTTATTTGGAGCCATCTTGGGATGATCTTCGTGCGTTTCGTTTTATCTTTTTACCTTTGAATTTCATTTCTTTTTTCAATCGCCTCGTTCTGGTATTCGTCTTCACGCTTTGAGCTGATATTTACCTTCCGGACTAGATAGTTTTTTCCCTTAAGAAAGAGACTTCATGCCTCTGAAACGACGGATTCCTTTCAGGCCCAAAGGTACCCATTAGGCACCACCGGCTTTCGGAAATTGTCTAGCCTCGCCGATAAAAAATTTTCAAGAGCTATGTTAGCTTTACCAAAGTATCAATTTTATTTTTAATTACATTGAATTAATTGCAAGCCTAGAGACATCTTGAGCAGATCAAAGAGAGGGAATCTTGGAGTTCTGAATTTTATCTGAATTAAAAGAGTACTCACTCTTTCAATTTTCATACATTTCTATTCCAGCTATTTTCCCTCGGTTTTTGCAAGTTAGTTTTTTGAAAAATGGAACAGAATCATCGAGAAACATTTAACGGAAAGTTAAGGTTGGATTACTAGCAGAAATCATGAAGCTGCATGACTATTTAACTGTAATTAATTTTCAATAAATTAATTTTTAAATGCAAGTGATTTTAAATATATATTTGGGAAGCATGTACGTGTTTCTCATGCCTTGTTGAATCCACAAAACTAAAATAAACATTTTTCCCCTTGCCTAAAACATTATTCAGACATGAAAGGGTGAAAGTGACCGGTTAGAAATGTTTTCAGTTGATTCCTTTGCAGTGGTCCTTGCATCTGAATTCTAATGGCGGTGGAACAAGAACGAGGCGATGCGACATCAGACTCACCTGTCGGCCAGGTAGCTGAGGACGAGGGAGCCGAGCATGGCCGCCGTGGCCACCAGGGTGAAGGTCAGGGTGATCCTCCACTCCTCATCGCACACCCAGTGGAACTCGGACGCCACCGTCTCAGCGTAGAGGCTCCGGTCGTACGACCACCCGTTCCTGCAGGCTTCCCGTTGGTTCTCAAAATTTCATCTTTCTCTTCTCCTTCTACTTTTGTCTTGTGAGGTATCATGCATCGTTCCGTTATGTCGGAGTTTCTTAACTAAGCTCTTCGAGTGCCCCATTAATATGCAAATCGATAACACCTTGTTTCGTGCGATCCATGCATGCATTTAAACGGAAAAGAAAGAGTGAGACTTGGGAGTACTGGGCTTCTGAGGAGTCCCCAACATTTCTGAGAGTCCTCGGGGACTCGCGGGTCCCCAGCTGAGAAACCCAGCGTTGGAGTATCCTTGCATTTCAGTGACAGGATTATGAGGTATTCTGTGTCATGATTCCATATTGAGTCTCAACTTCTTTGTGCTTTCTCAGGACAAGGTTTATTTTAGCATCAGGGTATTTAATGTGAGTAAGAATGAACTTATCTCCATATATTTTCAGCCTGCAGAAAGATTGACTCCGTTACCAGATCACAATTAAATTTCCCCAAATCGGAGTCAGTCACTAAATTTTTTTTTATTCCACCAAATATGATTACACCATCACGGGTGTTGCTATCACCAAATTTGCCCTCACCAAAAATATGCTCTCATCATCAAACTTAAGAATTTTTTTTAGCAATTGGAACCCTGTCAAGGAAAGGATTTTTCTTCTTTTCTGGTTATACCTGTGATGGCAAGAAGAGATGCCAAGAAGATCATATCATGCTGGGGGGGGGGGGGAGGCTTGTGTAACTGGTCCATGGCAACTTGCGACTTTGAAGACATTGAAACAAGCAGACGCCTTTTTCATTGCCAGCAGGTACGGCGACGCCACAAGGGAAAAGTGGAAAAGAACATCTGATGATAAAACCGGAGCATTGGAAGGACTTGAAGAGAATAAGACTCTCCCTCTGGGTTGTGAAAGCTCCGATTCTTTAATGCACATGCCCAGTTTGGATCAAGACTGGCATTTGCAAGCATTCACTCGGAGTGCTAATTCACACCCGGGAAGTCAGTGTTCCATCGGAAGCCCCATCAGACAGAAACGAAAGAGAGACCAAAGAAGGCTACCTCTGCGCTACAGGCTCGCTAAAAGAAAATTGATCTTTTTTAATACATGAAATGCGATAATGATTTGATGCTAACTCAATGAAATTTAGTGGTTATTTCATAGCACCTGGTGAAAATACTGAGGGGGAATTTGGTGTTAGATTCGTTAAGTCTGTTGATGGTGAGGTTGGTGAAGGTAACAATAATTTGGTAATGTAAATTCATTGAGCGACCAAATATAAAATCTGGTGATGAATCATTACTTCTTCGTGACGGAGTCAATATTATTTGGTGATGAATTAAATACTAACCATTTAATATTAGGGTTTTTGCGAATGGGGAATATGGTTTTGAAAGTTGGGATATTTCCAGTTTCGTATTTCCCAGGATCTCTCCCATTAGATTCAACAACATCCTGTATTGGACTCTCTATGTGATGATAGGACCTCTGGATGTGATGATAGGATGTCTGGTCCTCTTATATCCGACCAGTTCTTGAGTACGCCTACCCTTCCTGGAACAGCTCCCTGCCCAACCGAGTCGTATTTGCCATCGAACAGGTGCAGAAGCGTGCCCTACGCTTAATCCTTGGGCATAAATATGTAACTTACGAAAAGGCTTTGTCGACCATGGGCATCCCATCCTTACAGAAAAGACGACTGGATCTCACATCTAAATATGCCTATGCCCTCCTACAAAATCCATCGCGACGGCAGGCTTTGTCTCCCTACCTACAATGCCCACCCATGAACCTGAGAAGAAACATCTCATCTCTCTTGCAAGAGTATAAGTGCTGCACGCGCAGATTCTACCAGTCAGCAATCCCCTTCATGACCCGCTTGATAAACCAGAAAACTACCAGAGAAGACCGCCACACTGGCTCAGTACAAACCCCATAATTTTTGTTACCCTTTCTGTGTCTACCCTTTGACGATGGAATGCAATTTGCTGATGCACAATTATTCCAGAATCATGAATAAACCACTATTATTATTAATATTATCCTTGGATGACCTTGTTCAATCGATCATTCTATTCTGAATTACTTTTTTTTCCCTTGCCAATTTCTACGGAGGCAATATTCTACTATTTTTGGCTTTGCGGGAATAAGAGATTATTATTACTTATTCGGTTTGCAGGCCTTGCCTAACCCTCTCGTGCAATAATTTATAAAAGAAAAACAAAAAATGTTCTACTCTCAACTCTGCTCTACCCATTATTTCTGACGTAGCAGCCATATATTCCACCGCTAGATGGCAATACTGATCTCCATTAGGGAATGGATGAGTTTCTTCAGCTATGGCCAAATGTCGCCAAAGAGATCGTTCCGCGCTCTCTTCCGGGGAAAGGGAGGGCATCTCGACGGAGACAGGGAAGCAGTCCGAAGCAGACGAACATCCGCTTAAGGTCGATGCACACTAACTGCGAAGAGGTGCGGCGCACTGCACTGCCGCACTGCGACCGTCTGCGAAGTTCGCAGTCATTTCTTGACTGCGACCGTATGCAAAGCAGCTCCCACACTGGTCGCAGAGCTTCCAAGCCAAATCTAATATGGGTGTGTACAATTCGAGAGCTCGCGATGCAACATTTTTGCTTTTTTTGCAGTCCCAGAGAAGAAAAGCTTTCGACAGTGGTAGGTACGTCCTGCACACAGATCCCGTAATCAGATGGGAAAATTCGCGACTCTAGAATATGTTATCACCGCAGACAGGGAGTGTTTTTCTCCTATGTCCATGAGAATATCTTCTGAGCCGTTCAAGTCCCTTCCTAGTTTGCTGGAGGAGAAAGTAACTAACTCCAGACCATGCATTTCTCCAGCGCAAATGGTGGCGGTGACACTGAGTTCGGTAGATGCCTACTCGATTCAAATATTCTCTCAAATACGTATAAATCATGCAGTACTCTCTTAAAGGAGGGTACGACTCAGGCTTTTTGCATTCTAAGAACAAGGGCTTCTCAACTTAAAAAATAACAAAATGAATGGATAGAAAAAATGGAAAATAATCATGAATATAAATGATATTGAGACCTTTCTTGGAGATTTATTTCGTGTATCAATGTCCCTTGCTCATGGGGATTCAATGGTGATGATTGGCATCATCTACCGCCGAAGTCATCCCACCAAAAGAGCCGTCAATTTATTATTTAACAACTCCATAATTTACGGTTAAGAGATACGCAACGCGAACCAGTGCGAAAATGCGACAGGAAATGACTCGTCCGATTCGGTTGCAAAGCGTACTGCGGCCGATTGCGAAGGTCCCACGCATCTCCAACGCGACCGATCGCAAGAAACTGCGACGGTCGTAGTGGTCGCAACGCAGCTAGAAGCAGTCAATGTGCATGTTACGCTGCGGCAGTGCCTCTTTGAGCGTGTCGACTCCCGTACATTCACTTTTAAAAATTCTCTATGAAAAATTGTATCCCGACGCGAACGCCAGGAGACAGAATGGGGCAGCCCCTGAGCCTTATCATTCGTGCGATCTCGAGGATTCCGGAGCCATGCGTGGAATCGAGACACCCAAGGTCACGAGGGAATCGAGGCTCGAATCGAATCGATGGCATCGGTTGTGCGAGACGACTGTCGCGTCACTAGGTGCCGGTGAGTGACTTCGCAACCGTGTCACGTACGTTCAAGGTCCACTGTTGCAAATGAACTTTTCGTTCCTCCTTTTCCATCACGCTGGACGGTTCTTGGTTTCATCGATTCGGTTCACGTCACGGAGGGTCAAGGTAAGTGGTGTTTTTCATTCGGAGTTGGCTTCATTGTTAACTCGAAACGTGACATGGAATTCCGGACGTAAATATAACATTTTTCCCGTTCTCTTCCTTTTGAATTCATTGTGAACACCCACCAATCTGTTCTTCAAGCAATCAGTTTCTTCTTCACCAGCGTTTTAGATGCGATAAAGGCTAGATATTTTAAATAGACCAAAATTTTCCCAATTTTTTCCTGTTACCCAAAGATAGTACAGGATGTTTTCGAGTCGCACGTTGTCATCCGATCGTTCTTTTTCTGAATTTCGTTCACCTCGGCGAGGGAATTAACTATTATTAACCGACCGTAATGCCGGAGCCGTTGCCGACGAAGGCTCTCGAAGTTTCGCGAATAATCTATGCGCCTTTTCTCGAGGCGGCTCGGATCGTCGCCGGCGAGCGGTCCTGTATATATAAAGTGACTTATTAACGACACTTCCGTGAGGCGTGCTTCGTGACAGCGGAATCGGGAATTACTCATTCGGGGATTCGACCCAAAGGGAGTTCCTCAACGTAACACGCGTGTCTCGTTGAGTCCGCTGCTGGTCGTGGAGGATTGGCAGCGACATCTACATTGCGACCCTGTCGATGAATGGGATTCGAGCGGAGTGGAGCCTCTAGTAACACTATATGAAACATTATCTGTGTGACAGGAACATCCGTTCGAACGAGGTCGAGGAGTCCTCTCTCTTACCATGCTCGATTACCGTTTAGTCTGATCTTCTCGTTCGTGCATGTTTAAGAATTCCAAGGTCAAAATACCGGTTAGGTTACTTTACATTTTTACCCCTTGGTCCGATGAAGCGACGATACGATGCAGTGATGGCGCTCAATTGTCTGTAGATAATGTTCTAACTCTTTCGCTGATTGTTCATCTTCCCAAGCCCTTTTCTAGTCATGGGAAAGGGAGATGGGGAAACAATATTGAAATGCTATATACAGGACCGGTTTGGGCGAAGACGGGGGAACGGAGTCCGTCCCGTGCATCCAAAATTACTTCTATGAAACTGATGAGGAATTGCAAGCTGTACTCTGGGTTGCGAATGTGATCGCGCGGGAATCTATTCAAGACGATCTTATCGCGAAAACTTAACCTATCCAATATGTTCTATCCATACAATATCTGCCCTGCTTTCTCTCCTCATGCTGTCACATAAGGTCCATGAACCTAATTACTCGCAGATGGAAAAGAAGTGTCGGAGCATTAATTTGTGAGTCGATATGATTTTTCACAATGCTAAATTTCCCATTAGTATTAGTCATGCTGTCGCTCTATGATGGACCTCAAATGGGGGCCTGTCCCACAGAACTTTTACGAGCTACAAGTAAGAAGTATTTACATGGTTCGTGTGAAGGGTCAGCGAGACCCGCTGGAAGAGTTAAACAAGAACACACGCCCCTTGCAAGTACTTGCAACTAATAGAACTGGCTTTTAAATCTTCTGTGGGAAAAGGCCCCTGGCCAATGTTTGGCCTCGTCCATACCAGAGAGTCTTCTATGCAATTTTTCTTTGCAAGTCGACTCGCAAAGAAAACTTTCGTGGCGAGGACGTCTACAGTATGAGAGCTTTAAATGTAAGATTTTCAGTGCTCTGGGAGATTTTCTCGAAAGTTTTCTTTTAAAATATAAAATATTTCTTTTTTGCAACATTATCGTCGATGCAAGGAAACTTTCTGGTGTGAACGAGGTCTAAACATCGAGAAAATGGCTTTCCACATTCCATTCCATTCGAGGTTCCGGTCCCGGTTTCATTCCCTTGTCCACTGTCGTTTCGACCGACAGAACCGGAGCTACCTCGATGCTCGTTCTCGGCAGGCTGGAGATGCGCATCCCTCACCTATAACTCTAAGGTTTCTTCAAGACTCAAAATTAATATAAGAATTCCAAAGGGGAAGGTGCGCTTGAGTTTCGCTAATTCGCTCAGCCTTCCGCCGCTTCCGTTAACTGCCGTGGCAGGTTGCAACTTAGGGGCTGAGTGAAATTCTTGCTGACATTAAAAATATGAGTTGAAGAAACAAAGGAGCACTCGCTCCCCTACCCTCCCCCCGTCGCGCCCTAAGGCTCGTGGCACATGCCCCAGCCCGGCTCTGTCTACAGAGAAACAAGTAGGAATACGAAGAGCAGACGCACCGACGATGCTCCGGTTCTCACCGTCCTCGTATTGGGTGCACTGTGAATGCCTCATGCTCCCATCGCTCCCCTCCACCCTGTCACATATGCAAAGGACAATCTTGAATGTTCGTGTAATGTATAGGATGTAATGTGTGTAGTGCATTGGATTCTTCGGGAGGAAGGAGCTCGGCTTCTGTAGACGATCACTGCGAGAGACCTGCTTACTTTTTCCGAACTCGTAGAATCTTTCATGACCTCCCATTGTAATTTAAAAAAAAGCATGGAATCTAAAGGAGGCAAATTCACATCGTCTATGATATTTCTCGTGTTCCTCATCGCCTTTGATTCCCACGAGGAATATCAACAGGAAAACGCGACTTCGGAGGTTCCCATGGCATAACTCGTCTCCCAAGAAACTTAGCAAAAAACCATTCGTAATTCTGTTAGAGAAGAGTCTCTCAATTCTGTAGATACCTTCATCACCAGAATCCGTGCAGATTGTGCCATGCAATATCTTCTTAACGGTGAGCATTTTGCAGGCTGTTCTCTCTTATATTCGCACTCCCCCTTACCTGGATCACTGTGCAAAAAGAGGGATTCGTCGGTCGGATGATCAAAATAGCCTGAGGCTTCGTCGTATGCCTTCGTTCAGTTCCCCCCCCCCCCCCCTTTGTCTCCATACGTCTGGAGTGTCTGAGTATCCAGATTGCGTTATTGGTTGACTTTTATATATTCACTAATTCCGACTGCTTGAGGGATTGGTATGAATTTCTATACATTACAACACTCCTCGTCCTCTGTTCTGACTCATGGCATTAAGGATGCAGAAATTGTAATATCTTGGATTTACAATTGGCTGACAATTGGAGAGATCTGTGGAAGAGTCGAAAGAATGGAAGAAAGTGGATAAATGGCCATAACTCCATAGCCCTTTATTTCGATACGAAATCAACGCTTCAGTTGAGACATTGCTCTTTGAGTACCAACATTACGTCCTTGCATCATTGGTCAAAGGTGAAACATGCGTT